AGAGTTAGGGACCAGCAGCTGGGCTGGGGGGGAACTGGAGACAGGGTGGGCGGCATTCCAGGGGCTTCCAGCCTCTAAGCCATCTGTGTGTAGAGGTGGGGGTGGAGGGCATCTGGTGGAGAAGGGACCACGGGGGCCTTTCTAGGTCCCTCACCCTGTGTGGCAAAGTCCCGTGACAGCGCCTGTCATTCGGCTCAGACATGGCAGAGGCACCCAGCCTTGCTCTTCCTTGGAGAAAGGCCTCTTGACGCTTTCTAAGGACCTCTGGGTCTCCTTAGGATGCATGTGCTGTGGGGGCCTTAGCCACAGCTAGGACAGTGGCTCCGGGAATGGAGACTGCAGCCTGTCTACATGCTCAAGCCAGGTCTTGGGGTGTGATTGTGCAGAAAGGGAAACCGCGTACCTACAGATGTGGTAACAAGGGCACGAGGGTGCCATTCCCGACCCCACACTCTTGGGTCACCTGACATGGCATGGAAGAGCAGACAAGACTCCTAGGGTTCAGAAGTTGAGGCATGCGCTCCCACTCTGAGGGCCAGTGAACACTGGGTCTCAATCCTGTGGGACCAGGGTGCACAGGGGGGTGACCATGTGTTTTTCAGACAGTCCTGTCACTTCTTTGCCAGGAGAGTGAATTTTAGGTGTTAATGTATACTTTCATGACAAAAGAGAAAAATATTCTGTAGATAGTCAGAGTTTGGGAATAGCTGGGTTACACAAAGTTAGTTCTTTTCGCCACAGGCCTTCTCAGGGCTTTTAAAATGTAAATGTGGGCTGGGCCTGGTGGCTCACGTCTGTCATCCAGCACTTTGGGAGGCCGAGGCAGGTGGATTACGAGGTCAGGAGTTCAAGACCAGCCTGACCAACATGGTGAAACCTTGTCTCTACTAAAAATAAAAAAATTAGCCAGGCATGGTGGCACGTGCCTGTAATCCCAGCTACCTACGAGGCTGAGGCAAGAGAATCGCTTGAACTCAGGAGCAGAGGTTGCAGTGAGCTGAGATCACGCCACTGCACTCCAGTCTGGGTGACAGTGAGACTCCATCTCAAAAAAAAAAAAAAGGAAATGTGGAGCATTTGCACAATGCTGGTGGGTGCTGGCTGGGGAGGTAGAGTGCCAGAGGTTTCTCTGACTCCAGATTCAGGGTCTTGTCTTGGAATTTAAGCTGCATCCCAAAGGGATATCATGTCTCTTTGAGCCGAACATATTACTTTGCCATGGAGGAGAGGAGGTGGGCTGTGCCCGGTGGGCCCCTTTGGGAAGGGGGCCCCGCTAATAGGCACAGGGTAGCTCTCTCCACCTTTGTGACGGCCCTGAGTTAATGCCCAGGGCTCTGCCCAGCATCCTCCGCCTCTCTGGCCAGGGATGTCATTTGAAGCCGTCATCTCAGGCACCACGAACCAAAATTAGGGAACCTGTTCTTTCACTGGGTAGATGCTGCTGAGGATCTGAAATGCCCCCGCAGATCCCCCCTGCCTGCTGGGGTGGCTGCCACGACTGGGGTCAGATTCATCCTAAGGGTATCAGTGTCTGCTGAAGGCTGGGGTCAGGGGGCACTGCTGTGATTCTCATCCTGGGGTGCAAGAGGGGTTCAAGGTAGCGCTCAGAAACTGGCTGAAGCCACGGAAAGGGCCGCTGTGGGTTCTGTCCAATGTAGTTAAAAACATCTGACTGCAACCACAAAAATGCTGGCATCCGGGCCTGCTGCAAAAACATTTCCATGTCAAAGGCAAGCGCACTGGTGCTATGAGGAGCTTGCACCGTTAACCCTTGAAGGCGCGTGTGCAGAGTTGGCCTGTGGAGCAGAGCTGGGTGCAGGCTGGCACCACAGGCCTGGGTCATGGGTCAGGCATGTGGACTAGGGTGAGGGTGGGTTCCCTCTGTCTCCTGGGTCAGGAGTGCCACTAGGCTTTGTTGCTCTTGAGCCCTGGCATCCTCTAGGGACAGGGACCAACGTTTTGGAGGAGACGTCCAGAGGCAGAGGGGCAGCCACAGCCCAGGGGTCCGGCTGTGGTCACAGACACGTGTTTGTGCATTCAAGGAGCTCTGTGGTTCAGGGCTCGGGCATCAGAGAGAGACGCCTGAAATGCAGTCAGTGAGGGCTCAGGGAAGGCCTCCTGAGCAGGGGACTTTGGAAGGCGTGAGCTGGGAGGAGCACTCGGCGCAGGGAGTCCAGCCAGGGCAGTGGGCCTGAGATGGGGGCGAGCCAGAGTGCTCCGGGAGCAGCAGGCACTTTCTTTGCTTAAGGAAACATCACGGTCAGCCCTCGAGTCAAAGGGTCCTATAGCCCCCTTTCTGCCGCCTCCGGCCCCTCATCGTAGGGAGTGTGGCTTCAACACAGGGTGGCTGCCTGCTTCCTCTGGAAGACAGGCAGTCAGAGTCCAGCTTCTCATCACTCCTGCATTGTGACGATGCATACCCCAGAAGCTGTTCCCACCCCCACAGGCATTGCTGCTGCAGGGAGGATTCTCAGAAGGAGGAGATTGCTGGACCCCAGGGTGAGTATGGTCTCACTTTCAGTGGCCTGTTTTCACAAAAGGCTCTTGAAATTCTCCCTGACTGCTCAGGAGGCCCCTCTCCCCAAATGTTTTCACCAGCACTGAGCTTGACTCCACTTTTGAGTCTTGACCAGCCTGCCCTTCAAGTCTCCCTCCCACAGCCTGAATCTTTATCCACTTTGCCCGCTTGTTTGTCTCTTCCACACTGCGGCGGGCACTCCCTGCACGGTGGCTGCTGACCCTTCAGCTGCAATGCCAGGTGAGTTTCCCAGGCTGGGCAGAGGCATACAAGGGCTCGCCCCTGGCTACCGTCCTCTTCCTCAGGGACTTGATCTCCCAAAGCCCAGGCTGCCAGCTGTTCACATTCATCTCACAGAGCCCTCACCCAGTGCTGTGTGCACACTTGGGCTCCCCAGTGCCCTGCCTGCCTGCAAGGGAACATATCCAGCTGGCCGGTCCCCCAAGTCCCCTCCACACCGACAGGGGTGTGGTGACTCAGCAGCACTTAATTTTTCAGCAGGGACAGCTGTTGGAGACAGCCTGGAGACCCCCTGAGCAGCTTGCCTCAGGAGAGGGTACAGCCTTAAAGCCTGGAGCTCTGGAAAGCCTGTGAAGAAGGGCTGGGAGCATGTCTACCCAGTGCCTCCAGGGCCCCCACCCTACTCCCCTGTCTGCTCCCACCCTCTCCTGAACAGTCTTGCACTTGCTCCTCTGCCTACACATGGAGGGGACGGCTCAAGGAGGGGCTGGGGACAGCCTGGGTCTGGGGCAGTGGGGCCAGCCCCCTGCAACTCTGCTGTCAGGCATCCTGGTGCTTCATCCTTCTTGGGGTTGGCAACAAGACACCCTGTCCCTACTCTCAAAGACTCTGGGATAGGGCACATGGGTGGTGATCCTAGGCTGAGACCAGGCATTTGGATCTACAGGAGGCAGGCTCCCAGGACCTCCTCTGACAGGGCCAGGAGAGGGTTCCCAGAACTCAGAACTATCCTGTGGGGCCTCAGCATAGCTTCTCAGAACCCAGAGGTACCCATGAGCTCCCTGACAACCCCCTCGACAAGCCCAGGGGTCCAGTGGGCTCTCTGCTGTGGCACCTCAAGACATGTGGGTTCTAGGGGGGAGTATGGATGCCACGGTGGCAGCCTACACACCCCCAATACCCACAGAGAACAAAGGCTGCCCAGGTTCAAGCTATAACCTGGCCACTCCAGGCTTGGGACCCTCACTGACACCCTGAGCATGGGGTTAAGTTGGGGAGGGGTTGGTACTGACCACACAGGGCTACTGAGTGCACGAGAAGCACCCAGTATGGTGCTCAGCACGCAGCAGGTGCCCAGATGATGGCTGCTAGGACAACCCCTGCCCACGGCCCACAAGGAAAGCTGAGTATGCAGAGCTTGCCTTAGATGGGCATAGTGCTGGGGCCCTCTGCATGGCTGCTTTCTCTCCAGATCCCAGGCCAGGCTCCAGAGGCCCTGGGCCGAGCTGACCAGGAAGCTCCAACAGTCCCTCTCATGAGCATGGAAGAGTCCAGAAGAGTCCAGAGTCAAGACCTAGGCCTTAGTAGGACAGCAGAGTGGTCTGCCCAGCAGGCAGAGGCAGATGGAGCAGGAAGGGATGCCAGCCTTGAGGACTCCAGGGCACATATATTCCTAAGGGAGACACCCTTGCTTGAGGTCCTTTGGCTACTCATCCAAGCCTGCTTGCTTCCTCCTCTTCCCTCCCTTCCATCCACCCTTCCTTCCTTTCTTTTCTCCTTCCATCTATCTATCCATCCACCTATCCATCATCTCTCCATCTACCTACTCCCCAGCCATCATCTCTGCCTCCAGACTTCCCTTCTCTCCATCTCCCCATCCATCCATTCGTCCACCACTCATCTATCCGTCCTCCCACCCATCTCTTCATTTCCCCATTCATCCATCTACCCACCATCCATTTATTCAGCTCTTCTTCTCTCCATTCATCTATCCACCTCTTTATCCATTAATTTGTCTCTCCAACCATCCATCCATCCATCCATCCATCCATCCATCCATCCATCCATCCATCTCTTTATTCAGCCCTCCTTCCCTCTATCTCTGCATTTATCCATCTACCTCTATCTATTCATGCATCTCTCTGTCCACCCACCCACTCAACCATCCATCTGTCCATCCACCCATTCATCATTCATTATCCACTCATCCCTTCATCTCTCCTTCCCTCCATCTCTCCATTCCTCCATATACCTCTTTATCCATTCATCCATTTCTCTGTCCACATTCCTATCCATCCATCCATTCATCCACCTACCCACTTATCCATCCATCCATCCATCCTCCATCCATCATTCATTCATCTACCCACCCACCCACCCATCCATCCATCCCTTTATTCAGCGCTCCTTCCCTCCATCTCTCCATCCATCCATACACCTCTTTATTCATTCATCCATTTCTCCATCCACACTCCCACCCACCCATCCATCTATCAATCCATTTCTATATTTAGCCCTCCTTTCCTTCATCTCTCCAATCATCCACCTCTATCTATTCATCCATCTCTTCATCCATCCAATCATTCGTACATCAACCATCCATCCATCCGTGCATCCCTTTCTGCAACACTCTCTCCCTCCAGCTCCCCATCCGTTAACCTATTCATCCACCACTCGCTTGCACTCATTCATCCTCTCCACATGCCAGGCCTGTGTGCCCGCCTTCATTCTTTCCACAAGCATGAGCAGCTGCCTCCTGTGTATCTTGTAGCAACAATGAGAAGATCAAAAGGCACTGATGACGCAGTCACTGGCCTCTGAAGTGACAGCCCACCACCGGCTAAAAATAGACCAGGATCAGCCGAGATGCTGGTCCTCCCTCTGTTCCTTCTCTCATCCTTTAGGTCCCTGCCCCCTCGACAGAGGACACACTCCATGTGGCTGAATGGCTCCAGATCACAGAGGGGATCATGGAGACAGGGGCTGGAGGTGTTGTCAGAGCTTGGTGACCAGGCTAGGGGCTTGGGGGGGGGCCCGAGTCATAAAAATACGGTGGGGGAGGGACATTTGCTGCAAGCACTGAAAGTGGGTGGGTTTGGGGGCAGAAAAGAGGTGCAGGTCTCCACCTCTGAGAGAGTGGGCAGCCCAGGTTTCCTGAACAGAGGTGCATGGGGACACAGGGCAGATGTCCTTGAATGAGTCCTGGGCATCAGAAGGCCTGCTGGCATCCTGAGGCCATCAGTGACCCCCAAAAGCAGCTCCAGGCGCCTCGGGGCTGAGGTGGAACTCCCTCCAGCTCTGCCAGCCCCTCAGTTTGACAGGTGACTTGGGGTGCCAAGGTGAAGACAAGGGCTGACAGCCTGTCGGGTAGTTCCTCTGTGCCAGGCTCCATCCTAGGTACAGGGTTCTCACAGGTGAGATGGTGCTGGCCAGCCCTGTGTTCTCAGAGCTTCTGTTCCAGCTGGAGAGCCAGGCCACAGCCTCCAGGCACAGGCACGGGCTGGGGCAGGAATGAGGGGTTGGAGGCTGGGGCAGAGACCTGAGGCTGTGAGGGGGCACCTTTGCAGTCAGTAGAGGGCAGGTGCCAACAGCAGACCTCAGGTGGCTTGAGGGCTGGCCATGGCACAACCCCAGGATGCCACTCACATGGGCACAGAGGCCTTGAGGTGGAAGCGCCACGGGGGCTGGGTAGAGTCAGGAAGGGGATGTTGTAGGGGCAGGCATGGGGCCCTGGGGCGTGGGGACCACGGCCATGGAAGGGTGCCTGGACGGCTTCCGAGGGAAGAGGGAGGCCATGGGGGGCTTGAGCAGACAGAGCTGTGGTCTGGTTTATGTTTTAGAGTCCCTCTGGCTGCTGCATGGAGACAGGAATGTAGGGGGAGAGAGAAAGCCGGGAGCCCCTGGGGACGGGGCTGGGCCTCCTCTCCGGGAAGGAGCTCTGCCTTCATGCGCTGCTGTTCCCGCCTGCCGGAAATGCCCTTCCGGCCCTGGCAGAGACTGCAGTAGGAAGATCAGGGGCCACAGAGCTGGCCGGGCAGTCTGTGATGCAAACGTGCCCCCAATCATTTTCAACCAGAGCCCCCAAGCACTGCCAGGGTGGGGAAGGGAATGGAATGCTCCTCTGCGTCCCAGGTCTCAGGGAGGAAGGGAGGAAGGAGAGAAGGAAGCAGAGAGGGAGGGAAAGAGGGAAGGGGGAACAAGGAAGGAGAGAGGAGGAGGGAGGGGAGGACTTCGAGGAGGGACTCAGGCTTTTCGGTAATGTGAGCTGACACATTTCCTCCTTCGACAAGTTTCAGGGGTGCTTTTGTTCCTTGAAACAGAAAGTTTGTGTGGGGATCAGCCATCTGGGGGTGCATGGCCAAAGCTGGGGGCTGGGGGTCAGAGCAGGGAGCATGGGTCCCTGGGGGGGTTTCCTGAGGAGGGGGCGGCTTAGAGAGCCATGAGGGCTGGGCTGAGGGGCAGCCAGCAGTGCCAGGAGGATAGGAGCGAGAGGCGGCACAGCCGGTAAGGCTGTGTGCCAGGGTGTGGGTCTGCCCGGGGCAGGGCCTGAGCATGCCCCTGTGAGGACTTTCTCAGTGTCACCCACGGCAGGCACTTGGGAACTCAGGAAACTGTAGAATGGGAATGCGTTGCTCCCTGCGCACCATCTTCCGGGCCTGAGCCTGTAGAAAGCGGGGCTTTACGCCAGCCCCACCTCCTTGGTGGTCTCCACCCGTCCCAGCCACAGTTGCTCAGCTCCGAGGCCCACTGCTATATCTTCTCCTATGGGCCCACCATGCTGACCTCTAGCCAGGGGTCTGCTGACCCTCGTGGCACCTCACCCACTGGGATACGCCCAACCTGAACGTGCAGCCCTAGACCACAGCCCAGAAGGAAGACAACCACTCGGGGACTGCCAGCCACCCCTCCGCTTAACAGGAGCTTAAGTCAGACCAAGGGGGCCCCTGTGTTTCCCTTTTCCCTTCTGTCCCCCCATGAGGCCTTTAGGGCAGTGGATCTCAAGAAGGTCTCTAGCGGCACAGACACAGGCACAGCCTCATGCATCCAGGCCCGTGGACTTTGCAGGCATTGCTCAACAGGCCCCAACACTGGCTCAGGAGAACATGCTGCTGCCTTCACACAGCACTGATAAGGGCCGAGGAGCTGTGTTTGCAGAGATGATTCCCCACCCCAGGAGGTCACAGGCTAGGACCGGATGCGATATGGGAAATCTGGGTTGTAACAGGGACAATGAGCCAGGGAGGCCGGACAAGGGCCGCGGGACTGATTCCCACGGGGGGCTTCCTGGGGGAGGCTCCCTTTGGATCCTGTTAGCTGTACAGGGGTATGACAGGTTCCAGACAGGGCACAACATCACTGAGCTTCACAGCCTGGAGGTGAAGGAGTGCTAGGGTCTGTGCCCACCCTGGTCTCACCGGGGCTATAAGGGTGCCAAGACAGGGTGGGGGCGAGGCCCGGCCATCTGTTGCTCTGAATGCCATGCTGGGAAGGCAGAAGTCCTTGTGGAGGCGCACACAGGTCCGCAGCACCAAGAGGATGGGAAAGGGCTGAGCATGGGGTCCTTGTCCTGTCCCTCTGCCACACCAGAGCATCCTACCAGGTGGGACTGCCAGCTGCCAGCCCTGTACCTCGAGTCCAAGCTCTCAGAAGCAGTGGCCTTGGAGCTCTGACAGATGGGGTTCTTCAGTGTAATGACAGGCACCTCCCCCAGTCGTTGTCAACACATCCTAAATGCCAGCAGGCCCATCCGTGCACAGATCCCAAGCAAACATTGAAAAACATTCAGAACATGAGAGAGAGGGGCCTGGCTGGCCAAACATAAACAGAAGATCAAGGAATTAGGCAGAACTTCAGATGTAAGATGTATCTGGAGTCTCCAAAAAGATCCCAGGAGCTGTTGTACCCATCACACAAGGGTGGAGTGCCATGAGCTCGGCCAGAGAGCAAGCGTGTGCTCTGGGTTATTAAGACGGGATTGCTAAAAACATTTCCTAGAACTCTCAAGAGATAAAGTTAAGAATATACTGCCATAAAAAAAGAGAAGAAAGTTGAGACATCAAAGTTTCATTAAAAATGTCTTCAATCTGACTTAAAAGGGATTTCAGAAAGAGAGAACAGAGATGGTGGCATACATGATCAGAAATCACAGAGATCTTTCCAGAGCTCAAGGACTACAGTTTCCCAAGGGCCCACCAAGTGCCCAGAGCAGTTCATGAACAAAGTTGGGAACGTCACTGGGAAATTCAGACTCCTGAGTCCAGATGGTAGATACTAAAAATTTCCAGAAAGAAAAGCAAGGCCACTTACAAAGGTATGAGGATAAAGCAAGTATAATTCAAATCTCAATAGCAAGTCTGGATGCTAGCAAACCATAGGACAAGGTCTTTAAAATTCTGAAGGAAAATTATATTCAGCTTCAAATTCTATACCCAGTTAAACTAGCAATAGGGCATCATGACTGAATGAATATATTTTCACCATGTAAGAACTCTGAATGCTTCCCTTCCACACAGTCCTTATCAGGGAGGCCCCTGAGGTTTCCCGAGAAAACTGAAGAAATGAGCATTAAGAAGACCTGAGTACCAGGGAACAGTAAACCCAATCTAGAGTATAGCCATAAAAAAGGTCAGTTGTAGAATGATACAAGGCAGGAGGGGTCGGGAGGAAAACACATCAATCAGAGCAAGAGAGGGAAGGGGTCAGGAAAACATGGCCAGAACAAAAGGGGACGTGAGAGAAGGACACTGGCCTGGAGTGGTGAGCATGTGGTGGAGATGATGAATGCCAACAGCGCGCAGGAGGATAGCAGGGAAGCAGGCACGAGCCACGGGGCCCTCTGGAGTCAGCAACTGAGGCACAAATCTAACCAGTCAGGAGATGAGTCCAACTGGAATGGAAGAAGAACTGAGGAAGAGGCGTCTGTGGTGAGGGGACCACAGGGAGCCCATTGCCACCTTCACACAGAACCAAGATGAATGGACAGAGGGAAGCAGAGCCTCTGAACTGCCCACAAGTGTCGTAAACCAGGACCAACATCACAGTAACAACCCACAGTGAACACGCGTCTCACAAGGAGGTGGGGAGGGGCGGGGCTGCAGTGTCACCGGGTACCACACCAAGCCGAGAAAAGACTGCAAAACCCACAAGGACTCCAGCTTCCCACATTTGTTTTTCTCAACCTGAAAGTGACATTTAGAAATGAATTTCTCTTTTGGTGAAGAAGCATTTACCTGAATCCGGCGATTACTTCTGTTTTACTCTGGTTTCGTCTCTTAAAAAAAGTGAACAATTCAAAATCTGCAGATATCCCTTGATTCCATTTATATTTGTTTTTGATGGTGTGTCTGTCTGTCTGCCCACTCATTCATCTACTTACTCACACATCCATTGTCTGGCCATCCATCCATCCATCTCTGCATCTGTTTCTCCATCTGTCTTTCCATGCATCCTTGTATCTATCCTTCCTTCCATCTGTCCACCCATCTATTCATCCATCCACCCACTCATTATCCATCTATCCATTCATCTATCCCTCCCCTAACCCTCCATACAACCATCTGTCCATCCGTTCACCTGCCCATCTATCCAGCCATCCTTTTTCTATCCAACATGCAGAGAAGTATCTGGAATGCTGCTACCCTGACACTAATGATGGGGATTTCCAGGATAACAAGGGGTATTCTAGGGAAAGGGGGTGTGGTCATAAAGGTATTTATCTTTCATTTCAGACCTTTCTGTATGGTTGGAATTTTCTAGAAATGCAATAGAACCAAGATTATCAATCAGCCAATCAATCACTCAATCAACTAACCTACCTAAGGACTCCCATTTTAAAAATTAATGATAGTTCTCTGTGGAGAGATTATGGCCCTCTTTCATTTTCTACTCTGCTCAGTTCTGCATGGAAGCCTATTAATAGCAACTCTGAATGCTATTTTCAGAGGCCCCTCCCTCGGAGGTCTTCCCTGACCCCCCTGTTCCTCTCCGGCACAGTGCCCTGCTGTGTTCCTGCACAGTAATTTTCCTGGTCTGTAATTACGTGGTATATTTTTGACTGGGGCAGCTCTGTGATGCCAGGACCGAGTTCTAGCCCATCCCTGTAACACCTCCAGCATCTTCCACTGGGATATGGCAGGGGCTTGAATGGGTGCTGGGGGAGGGGTGGAAGGTGGGCCAGCCTAGATGGGGTCACCCCTGATGCCCTGGGCAGACAGCATTAGATCTTGGTCTGGCACTTAGAAGCAGGCAGGAAAAATCAGCCCACAGCGTGCCCACAGTGGTGCCCACGAGAGGGGCGGGGAGCAGGCGCCTCCACTTGCCACGTGCCGGGCACTGGGCCAAGTGCTTAGTGGGGAGGGCTCCAGGTACCGCTGGCCCCACGCCCAGAGAGAGCGTTCCTGTCTCCTCCTTACAGGTGTGGAAACCGAGGTTCCAGGGGGCTGTGCAGAGCACCCAAACTTGGTCTTCTCTGCCGCAGCCAGAGCTTGTGGGGGTGGGGCTCAAGATGTGACTCGACTGGGGGCCAGGAGGCATGGGGGGCAGGGAAGTTGGCCACCAGAGGATTGCGATGGGGGAGAGGGGAAGAGAGAGGTTGGGACAGGCTGTTAGGTGGAAGCCAGGGAGGACAGCATGGGAAGGGCAGGCCGCTCGGGTGGGCGGGGAGGAGGCTGAGGGAAGGGGGGCCCGGGAGGGGTTGGGGGTGTCCCTCGCCTGCCCGTGCCCACAGCCGGCCGTGCTGGCGCGGGTTGTGGAGGCGCTGGGCGGGAAGGCCCGGCAGGCTGGGCCCGAGGAGAGCCCAGCCCGGGAGTGTTCCGAGGAGGGATTTATTAGTGAAACAAAAGCATATTTTTCAGCAGGGCTGTTTGTGCAGTTACCTCATGACATTGCGCTGGCCCCGGGCCCGGAGTGGGGGGGCGAGGAGGCCCAGCACAGCGACCCGGGCGGCACAGACCAGCTCTCCATGGAGGGTCCCCTCCCGGCCTTATCTGGTCCTGGACATCAAAGCGGGGGCTTTTCATAAGCGAATTAAAATAGCACACAAACAGCACAGGGCCGGGAAGACCCCGGGCCAATTAGCTCCCAGCAGAATAAGAGGCCTTTCAGGGCCGGCCACGCTCGAGGCGTCGCTGCGGCTTGTCAGGCTCGATGAAATATTTTGCCCAAAGCTCATTATAATAATGAACCTGCATTTCTTTCCTCAAGAGAATAATTAGCAGACTTCCAAACGGGCTAAAGCAGCCATTTAAACACTGCCCCCTCATTGTCCCCTTTACTTCATTCTGTGACAAGGAAACGCTGGCGCCTTCCGAAAGAGCCGAGACTCCCAGTGCCCTCCCTGCGCGGTCACAGACTGTGGGGCCTGCGGAGAGGGGCTGCACCCCAGCCCCAGGAGCCCCGCCCGCACTGTCACCCCTCCCCATGCCACCGCGGTGCCGTCCCTCTTGGGCTGGCCTGAAAGTGGAGGAGCAGAGGCCTTCGAGAGTCTTTGGGGCCAGCACACAGGCCAGGCTCTCACTGTTTCTGGGAGCGTGCTGTTCTCCCAGGGCACAGGAGAGGCGTGGGGAAGGGGCAGGTGGGGGCCCCCCTCAAGGGAAACCTGAGCCTGAATGTACTCCTGGTGCAGCTGGGCCTCTGAGGTTGCCCATGGAGAGAATGAATGGGGACTCCCCCCAGGGCAGGTGGAAGATGGGAGTTGGGGGCTGAGCACGTTAGAGAAGGGTGAGCTGCAGCCTCCTCGGAAAGCAGGCATGGCCCAGCTGCTCCGGGGGGCAGCACAGACGGGTTACCTGGTGCCCAGCCACTGGGCACGACGGGTGAGGAAGAGGCAGGCCTGCATCACACAGCCCAGTGCGGGTCGCCTGCCTTCCCACACGGCTGGCACCAGACAGGGAGGCCAGGCTTCACCGGGCACAGTGGCCCATGTGGCCCCTGGCAGCCTGGGAAGGATAGACGAATTACGGAAGGGCTGGCATCCTCAGCAGGGAAGTCCCCTTGCTGCCTCCCTCCCTCCCTTGTCCCTCCCCTCTCCTCTTCTTCACTCCACAGATTGTTTACTCTTTCCCTACTGTAAAGATAAGAACCACTTGTGGGAGAGATTTTGAAAAATATGAAAAAATCTGTTTCAAAAACATCTGTCAGCCTACCCTCCGGGGACATGTTTCCGTGCCTTTTGTGCAAGGTGATGTTTTAGGCACCACCTCCACCCCACAAACTGGACCGGGTTTATCTCCAGTAACCCCGCACACGGGGCATTTTCCCGGGCCGCCGCGGGATAACGGAAAGCTGCGAAATTGTCCCGAACGTGGGGAACCAGAACCCACGGAACCAGAACCCACGTCCCGCGAACGCCGAAGGTGCAGGCTGTCTCCAGTGTCTCGCTGTTGTAAATAAGGCTGTGATTAGCCTGCTTGTGCATAACTCCGGTTTGCTCTTCAGGGAGAGAATCCTGGAAGGAGGATTACGAGGTCAAGGGGGAGGAATGTTTTTTAATCCCCGTGATACGTGTCCTCAGAGTGATTTCTGGAGCAGGGAACCGGCTCACACTTCCACTTCTCCTCGGTTTCCCCAGCACAGGAGACCACACATTGAGCCTTGTTTCTGCGTCTTGCATCTCTTCACGGAAACTCAGAGCAAGGGCTGGCACACCTCTCTCTAAAGGGCCGGATAGTAAATCGTGCTGGCTTCGTCGGTCACACAGTCTCTGTCACAATGACTCAACTGCCAAGGTGGCGTAAGGGCAGCCAGGGCGGCGTGTTCACCCGTGAGCAAGGCTACGTGTTATTAAAACTTTATTTACAAAAACAGGCCGCGGGGCCGGATGAGGCCCTCTGGCTGTGGTTCACCAAGCCCGTCTTATCGGATGAGGGCAGGGAGGACCTTCAGACCCTTTTGTAAATTGCCTTTCTAGTTCTTTGCCCGCTTTCCTACTGCGGGGTGAGTGCTTTTCTCATTGACTTCAGTCTTCACATGCAAAACATGGTCGCTCTTCATTGCTGGCTGCAGTTCCCCCCCAGCTTGCTATCTGGTAGCAGCTCTGGGCAGGCAGGGAGGGGCCCTGCACAGGCTGGAGCTGGGGGAAAGGCTCTGTGACCCGGGCCCCCAGGGGCCTGTGAACCTCCCCTGTCTCTTCTCAGACAAAGCCCTTGCTTCCGGCTCTCAGCCCCATCTCCGTGTCTGGCTCCGTCTGACCCGCTGACACCAGAGGGCTTGTCCGTCAGCTGCCCACGGGCAGAAACTCAGGCCCGGGGATGGCCGGACATTTCCTGGTTTTGTTTTCAAACTGCCTGCTTTATACCCCGGGAGCCTCATTGCCTGTGGAGCTCTGCCATTCCCTTCAGCCTTGTGTCTGTTTTTGGTGCTGCCTCTCCCTGATCAAATGCGTTGTCACACGTTCCAGTGCCCTGAGCCAGGTGGCCTGGGGTTTCCCAGCCGTGCAACTGTGGGCCTGTGCCTCAGTCTCCTCATACACAAAATGGGATGAACAGCAGTGTCGATTCCACGGCAGGGACATGCAATTTCAGCGGCTCCAGAAGCTGGGTGCGGGCGCGGGGGATGGCTTCGGTGTCGCCTCCATCGGGGAGGCTCATCTTGGGCCAAGAGCCAGGAGAGTGTTCAGGCCAGAGGCTGCAACATCACGCTGGGCAGGGTAACCCCAGTTGTTAGCTATGCCAGCCATTTTCACCTCTTTATGCTTCTGCATGAGCCCTGGAACCACCCTGTCAAGTTGGAAATCTCAGTGATGCCCTCTGCAAACCCACAGACACCACTGGGGTAACACCCAGCCCTCCGAGGGGAACGGCTGACCCTGCCCCAGCCTCCATCCCCTTCCCCTTGTCTCTCCCCACACAGTCCACTCCACCTCGTTTTTTCCGGGGCGGCAGGGTTCTGGCTCACAGACAGGCTTGACCAGGTCTGCATTCGGATCTTGGTGGCAGTAAAGTACTTTGTGCCTCAGTTTCCCTTCTGTAAAATGACGTAGTAGGAGGCCCATACTTGCTGACACGCCGAGGCATTTGCAGGGCTGGGTGGAGAGCAGGCACAGGGCACGGGTAGCGGTGGGAGCGGGCACATGGTGTGGGAGCACTGCAGCTGTTCTTGGCCCTGCAAACATTGCTGCTTCCGAATCTTCTCACATCTTCTAATGGGCTCCCTGGCACTGTAGAAAATCCAGTGGCCCCCACAGCACTTCCTAAGAAAATGCAGAAGGAGCTCCAGGCTCCTCCCCATGCGGCGCACCCCCCGTCCCATCCTTTCCTCTGCCTTCGACTTCCTGAGACCTTCTGCTGCAGTTGGGGTTGTGGCCACGTGCTGGGCAAGGCTCTGTGTGAGCTGAGTGGGACCTGCCAGGTGACTGGAGCAGGTGACGGAGGCGGCCCTGTCCAGTGCCTGAGTGCCTAAAAGCTGACTGACCCTGGGGGCCATGGGGATAGTAGGGGAGGAGCTGGTGGGCCTGAGTAGGGATGAGAGGGGAGGAGGGAGGTGAGAGAGGAGCAGGGAGTGCTGCTGAGAGGCCAGGAGAAAGAAGGGCCCAGGAGCTCCCTGGCAAGTCTGGGCAGGCCGCAGCCCTGGGCATCTGGGGGACAGGCTGGGGGTGGGCAGGCTGGGGCAGGATGGGACCTGGAGATGGGGCTGCAGACAGCACAGGCCTGGGCTTGTGTCCCCAGTCCTGGCGGGTACCTCTGGAGCCCCATCACCCCCAGCGTTGCCAGTGATGAGGGGCCTGCAGGGGTGAGGGGCGGGGTTTGGGAACAACTGGCTCCTGCTCCCCACCATGCTACCTGGGTACATGAAAGCTCCTGGGAACACAGGTGCATTCTCCAGAGCCCAGGGGGCACCATGGCCCAGAGGGAATTTCACCTTATACACACCCTGGGAACCCGCCACACCCCCAGGCCCCATCCTCACCTTGATGAGCCCTGCCCCCACCAGGGGAACCCGCAACACCCCCAAAGCTCCATCCTCACCTCGCTGAGTCCTTCCACTGTCCGGGCTGAGCTGGGCCCCCAGGAAACCCTTGCTGACTCCAGGGCCCTATTTCTTCCCAACTGGGGTCGAGTCCTTGGGAGGATTCTCCAGACAGTCCCAGGTTCCTCTGGCAAAACCAGGGCATTTCCTAGACACCTGTGGAGGGCCTGGTTGGGTTTTCAGGGCTAGTCCCTTGGTCACTCTGCCCTCACCATTGGCTCCCTCAGCCTTCTGGCTGATGGGCACTCCTGCCTGGCCGCTTCCCCCTTTATGTCACTTCCTGCTCTGAGAGAGTGGCCAGGGCCACCTCCTGTGAGTGGTGAGGTGGAGCCAAGGTGTTTCCCTGTGGGGGCACTGTCTAGCTGCCCCCCTTGGTGGCTAGCCTGGCCTTTGCAGGTAGTGCTGTGGGGTCTGCTGTGGCTGGGGGTTTCTGGGCTGAGTGAGGAAACCTGGTATGGTGTGGCTCGGGGTGGGTGGCCGCTCAGCTTCCCCTTCCCGGGACTATGGGGTGAAGGGCTGGGAGCAAGGGCTGGGAGCGTCCAGTGGCTTCTCTCCTCTAGCTCGTGGTACTCAGGATACCCCATCCTGCAAATGCCAGCTTTCTGGACCTGGCCCCTCTGACATGCCTGTGGCGCCCAGGCACCCTCTGTTCCCCAGTGAGTGCCATCTAGGGTGTGCCTGGGAGAATGAGTGTCTGCCGTGCCTGTCGCCTCTAAGACTTGGGGTCTGGCTCTATACCTCAGGGAAGCAGGGGGCACTGGGCTGTCATCTGAGAGTCAGGGTGGCTGCCAGAGCCACAGTCACCAGGACGTCATGAGAGAGAGCAGGACTTTATGAGACAGCACCGAGCCCAGGTCTCCAGCTCCCGGAGCCTCCAGGGGGTTTCACCAACAGACACTGGGCAGGCCTACAAAGAACCCTTGCACCCGAGGACAGCACACTGCAGGGCAGGTTCCCTGCTGCCTCAGTGGCCCCCTTGGGATGATAGTTAACACTGACAAGAGCTGGGAGGCTGTGCCAGTGCCCCCAGTGCTGCCAGCTGGGCACAGGGCTGGAGCCAGGGCTGAACCCTCATCCTGCTGCCCCCAAAGCCGGCACTATCACTGTGAGGAGAGAGGCGACAGCTGGCAGACCAGGTGGGCTCAGCATTGTCAGGAGGTGGGTGTGGCTGGCGCTGGGCACCCTCTGGCCTCCCCCTACCTGACCCCTGGAAAAGGGGAGTGGAGGGTGGACAGGCCCTGGCACCCTCAGCACGTCCTGGGCCAGTGGGTGTGAGTCGGGATGAACATGCCCACTGAGCTTTGCCCGGCAGCTGGTGAGTTCACCTCCAGCCACAGAGAATATGAAGCTCCCCGTCCCCCCCCCACTGGAGTCAAAGGCCCCAGACCCTGCTCTGGCTCTTTCTGTGCTGGGGCCTCCCCAGGGTTCCAGTCTTCTGAGGTCTGTGTGCTGCCCAGAAGGCTAAGGGAGGAGGCATCGTCACCCCAGTGTTGCGGGGACACCATCCCTGTCACTGCTGGTCTTCCCTGGTGCAGGCAGTTGGCGCGGCCCTGAGTGGCAAGGACACCCTCCATGGCTCTCCCCTCCCTCACCTCTTGCCTCTCAGCATGGGACGGGCATCTCCCTAGGCTCCAGCACCCGGGAGGAGAACGTGTGCCATAAACTGAACTGTGACTGTGCCAAGGTCCAACTTCACATGTTGAAACCCCAACCCACAGTGTGACTGTGTTTGGAGGTGAGGCCTTTAGGTGATTAAGATGAAAGGAGACTGAGCACAGGCCTTGCTCCCACAGGATTCACATCCTTACAAGAGAAGGCAGCAGCCCCAGGGCTGTGTGAGTGTGGAGGAAAGGCCAGCCTGTGAGCCCAGAAGTTGTCCTCCTCAGGAACCAACCCCGCCATAACCTCGCTCTTGGACTTCCAGCGTCCAGAACCCTCAGAAATACACTTCTCTGGCCTAAGTCCCCTGCTCTGCAGCTTTTGCCACTGAGCCGGTCAATACAACTGGCCAGCAGGAAGCTGGGGAGCTAGAGGGGACTTCGAGAGCAGGTGAGTGCCCACCTCCACAGGCGCAGGGCAGGGTCTGGCATCCTGACTGGGTCAGAAACCAGGCTGCCTGCAGATGTGGAGCCCAGTGTCCTGTTGGAACTGGGGAGCCTCCAGGGGGCTGGACTGGACCCACCCCAAACCTGACTGCCCTCTACCCTTTCACCATCTCCAGCTGGTCGGGGCCACTAGCATCCGGGAAGCCACAGCCTGGCTCCGCCCCAGCCCTGCTCCCACCTCCATTGCTTCAGTTACCAGCTCTGGCACAGCCTATTACCAGTGTCCCCACCCTGGGCACACCTGGTTTCCCACCTCCCTATCCCTTCTGAAACATTCTCCAGTGTGGGCTCTGAGGCCATCTTCACGAGTGCCCTCCAGCCACATTTTCTCCTGTCCCAGCGCCATCCTGTTCTCTGCTCCTACCACAGCTGAATTCTCCCATAACTTGGGGAGTGGCGACGGCAGACGGTGACTGAGGGGACAGCATGCGTTCTTCCAGTGTTCAGCGGGATCTCCTGAATCCCCACAAGCAAGCCCCTACTTTAGGGCTGAGGAAACTGAGTCACAGAGAGGCTATGTGTGGTGCCCAGATTTGCCCAATGATAAGCCGGGCTTTGGACCTTGGCATCAAAATCCTTTCCGCTTCAAGCTTGGAATCTTCATAGCCATGACCACTCCGGCCCCGGGTTCTGTAAGCCCCACCTAACTCTGTGTGGGACCCAGGCCCCTTTCCTGGCTCCCGGGACCCTATACAGCCTCAAAGCAGGCAAAGTACCCAGGTTTGGGTGGAGGTGGGGCGAGTCGGGTAGGGAAGAAAGAGGCTACACAGCTGGCGGGGGCTGGGAGTGGTGCCAAGGATAGCCCAGGGGTCTGGGCCCAGCTGCCTGCACCAAGGCCCTGGAAACCTCCTCTACAGCCTCTGCTCGTTAGGAAGCAGGAACCGATGTCAGCCCCCTCTTTGCAGGGTCACCCTGCTGGGGGAGGCCTCTGTCCTTCCCACACCCTCAGGCCACTGGAATGGAGCAGGAAGTGGCTTTATTCCCTTCTTGAAGGTGGCGGGGAAGGATCCCAGATCTGCGACCTCCGGGCCTCTTGGGCGGGGCTGTGGGCTCTGGAGACAGGGCAGGGCCAGAACCCTGGGAACTGAGAACGTCTGCATCTGCTCACAGCCCCCAAGTCCCAGCAGCCTTATCAGAGACCTTGGCTGGGAGCCTGGAGACCTAAGGGTGGCTGAGCTGGCGCCATGCTTCTACCCCCCGCCCCCAGGCAGCTATCCAGGCCTCTCCGAACCTCAATTCTGCATCTTCAAAGTGGGGTCACCCGGGTAGGTATGAGGACTGACAGGTGGATGTGGAATTCTTGGAGCTCAGGCACAGAAAACACATACCCCTCTGCCCTGTGACTGGAACCCTTGTGTAGCCTGCCAATTCATTTCCAGTCTGTACAGCTCTACCGAGAAGCTCTTCTAAATGTTCCTGATTCTCACCCAGAAATTCTACTCCTGGAAAATAAAAGACAAGGAAAAAATGCAGAGGAGGGTATTTGCTGTAACAGGATGGATAATGGTGACCACCTGCAGAGGCACAGATGCTGCTCCCTGGACATCGAGCTCGAGCCTGTGCGCTGTCCCTTTGGCTGTCTTGGATACAACATATACACACCACAGTCACACACAGCAACACAACACATACATATAAACACCACACACACAGGACAAATGCAGACACAACACACGCCACACTCACAGATATCAACACCACACACGACACATGCACATACAACACACACCACACTCACACATATCAACACCACACACGACACATGCAGACACAACACACACCACACCCACATCAACACCACACACACACGACACATGCAGACACAACACACGCCACACTCACATCAACACCACACAGACACAACACATGCAGACACAACACGCACCACACTCACACATATCAACACCACACACGACACATGCACATACAACACACACCACACCCACATCAACACCACACAGACACGACACATGCACATACAACACACACCACACCCACATCAACACCACACAGACACGACACATGCACATACAACACACACCACACCCACATCAACATCACACACGACACATGCACATACAACACACACCTCACCCACATCAACATCACACACGACACATGCACATACAACACACACCTCACCCACATCAACATCACACACGACACATGCACATACAACACACACCTCACCCACATCAACATCACACACGACACATGCACATACAACACACACCTCACCCACATCAACACCACACAGACACGACACATGCAGTCACAACACACGCCACACTCACCCACATCAACACCACACACGACACATGCACATACAACACACACCACACCCACATCAACACCACACAGACACAACACATGCACATACAACACACACCACACCCACATCAACACCACACAGACACGACACATGCAGACACAACACACACCACACTCACCCACATCAACACCACACAGACACGACACACGCAGACACAACACGCACCACACTCACCCACATCAACACCACACAGACACGACACACGCAGACACAACACACACCACACTCACCCACATCAACACCACACAGACACGACACATGCAGACACAACACGCACCACACTCACCCACATCAACACCACACAGACACGACACATGCAGACACAACACGCACCACACTCACCCACATCAACACCACACACACACGACACATGCAGACACAACACGCACCACACTCACCCACATCAACATCACACACACATAAACACCACACACATGACACATGCAAACACATGCCATATTCACACATGTCAACACCACACACACACAACACATGCAGACACAACACACACCCCACTTACATGACACATGCAGAAAGAACACACACCACACTCACACACATCACACACACAAATTCATGCAGACACAACACACACCACACTCACACAACAAATACAGATAGAACACACACCAAACTCAGACACATAAACACCACACACAGGACACATGCAGACACAACACACACCACACTCACACAACAAATACAGATAGAACACACACCACATTCAGACACATAAACACTACACACAGGACACATGCAGACACAACACACACCACACCCACATCAACACCACACAGACACGACACATGCAGATATAACACATGCCACACTCACACATAGAAAACACATACATACAACAGCACACACACCCCGCCCTCATGTACAAACACACCACGCCACACATGCACACACATACTGTGCCCAGGCATGCAAGCATACTACACACCACACACAACACATGCACACACATATTCCAGTGCACAGCTACAGAAGTTAAACATCCCATTCCATTTCAGTCCATTCCAAAGAGTGCTGGTTGTCACCATGACAGTGACCTCCTGGCTCGCCATGGATGGAGAGCCATGTGGAATCTGAGCACCGCTGCCCCCCCGGGTGCAAGCCCCGTCTGCCTCTGAGAGTTCTATCACTTTGATAGGCACACACTGGCTCCCTCTCTGTTCCAGGCAAGTGCTTGCCCGAGGCCCTTTGCTCTGCCATCCCCTCGGCCTGGTGTCCTCTCTCTCGTTACCATGGGAGGTGCTTTCTCCTCCTTTGCAGGTGCCTGTTGAGATTTCACCTGCCAGGTAAGTGCCTCCCGGCACCTGCATTCTTGTCTATGCCCCCTTCCTGGTGGGCTCCTCTATGTGGGCACCCTCTGCCTTCCTTCCTCTTCTTCCTCTCCTTCCCCGGACCTGTCCCTGCTCCTCCAGCCCTTCCCCTGTCCTAAATTAGGCAAATGTACATGCATAGATCAACCCAGCCCTGAGCCACAGAGGCCAGAGTTCAAACAACGCGACCAATTTATAAACAATTTTCTCCGCTACGATTAAGTTACATTTTCCCCAATAGCTGCTTCATTTTCTTGTCAAAAATACACAGTTTTCACATTTGTCTCGCTGCAAGGGTAATTAATTTCCAGACCATAAGTAAGAACTTAATTTGATACCTGCAAGGATTATAAACTATTTCAAGCTGTTGTTTACACGAAATCAAGAAAGATTCGTTCTGTTTGCAATTATGTTAATGAGGAAATAGAGTGGGTATTTTTTTTTCAGGGAACTCGGCATAATTTTGCCATTACCAATGAATTAGTTTAAAAATGCCTGCTGCTGCTGCCACAAACCCCTCTACAGCTATTTTTAAGGTGACCCCAGTGAGGAGGCCCTACAGACAGCTGAATATCCCTAGGAAGCTTTTTGTAGGAACAGCTCAGATGACCATGGGTCGGTGAGTTCTGGGCACTGGGCACACCCCCAGGTGGTGGACAACTGGCTGGGTCTGTAGAGGGGGCTGAGGAGTCTTCTCCAAGCCCTTCTGATGCCAAGCCGTAAGGAGGTGACCAGAACGGTGAGGGTGGAGGGAACCCGGGGCATGGACGGTCCAGCCCCTTCCTTGTAGACAGCCATTCTCTGGTTCTGGACTGCCACGTGGGTTTGCACCACACAGGCTTGCATCGGCCTGGGCCACAGGTGGGGACACTGAAGGTGCGGAAAGAGGTTGTTCTCAGGGTTGAGGAGGGACACCCCTTTAGCATTGTCCCATGCCCGCTGTGGATGGCTGTGCAATCGGGTCCCCTGTGGGGGTGAGAGGGCTGAACTTGGCCTGGAAAAAGGCTGCGTCTGCCCACCATGGTGCCCTTGGTTGGCTGTAACCCTGAGTAGCCCGAACTACCTGGGCTGACCCGGAGGCTGGTGCAGGGCGAAGGGCAGGTGCCCAAAGTGGGGAGGCATCCCCTGTGCCTGGAGGAACCAGCTGGCTTCACAGGATGGGACACTCAAACTGGGTGCTAAAGGCCGTGTGGTCAGGGCAAGGCAGGCTCCCAGGGGAGGGAGTGCAGGTATAGGCAGGGGGCTGTAGAAGGGCCCTGCATGCCTGGCAAGGGTCAGAATGGAGGAAGTACGGGGCCTGGGGGAAGAGGAGGGGTCAGGCCACACTGTGAAGGGCCCTGTGGCACAGAGAAGGCAAAGAACCTTCTAGACCTACAAGAAGGCGGCCACATGCTCATGGGGAAAGGGCCCTAGGGCTCCCGAGCAAGGGTGGTGGGCATGTGGCCAGGAGGTGCAGGGCTGGCACAGCCACAGGTGCTCGGGGGGCTTCAGTAGGTCTGTGAGGAAGAGGCCAGCCAAGCCTGACCTCGATGACACAGCAGCTGGAGCTGGCATCACCGAAAACCCAAGGGAAAGTTGTCTTTGGCCTCCTGGCCCTGCTGGGCACAGGTATGGCTGCGCAGTGGGGGACACAGAACATGAGGGCTCATTCAAAATATGACCCGCTTGGTCTGCAGGCATGTTGGGGCCTGTTCCTGGCTGCCTGTCGCTGGAGAGCTGGGGGCTGGAGCCAGCACTCCGCCTGGCCTCTGCCTGGCCCAGCCCCCAGCACTATCCTCCTCTTCACGGGGCCTCCCCCACACCCCTCCCTCCACCAAGTCTGCCTGGAGGCTGCATCGAGGCTCTGGGCCGAATCCTTGAATCCTCGTAAATCCTGGGGTGCTGGAGACAGCCCAGGTGAGGCCGTGAACAATGCCCCATTGTGGCCCCGTGGGGACGGTTTGCCACCACTTGCCACCAGCCCATAGGTTGTAAAAATCTCTCCCCACTGATCTAATTTCGACTCTCTGGCCCTTGGGGGGTTAGGCCCGGGACAGGCACAGTCTCACTCCACACAGAAACCATTTATGGTGGGGACCAAGGCCGCCTTTATTGGCACCGAAAGGCAACCGTTTCTGCCCAATGGCTTTGATACCGTCACATGTCAGGTGGTGAGGGTGGGACTCGCAGCCACTGGGGCTCGTGTGGGGACAAGGACAGGCCGAAAACTGCTGCAGCCGGAAGAATGGCTCCCAGCCTCTCTCTTCCTGGCTTTTCCAACGCCTGCCCCTCAGCGGGCCCATCATCTCTGGGCCCATCTCCGAGGCAGGGGACATGGCAGCTGACCAGGCAGGAACCCAGACACAGGCCCCTTCGGGGACATTTCCCTTCACCATGGAGAGGGTGTGAGGGAGTGTTTGTGAGAGCAACGGAAATGAAGACGTGGGGCCTGGGTCGGCAGTGGGAGTCCTTGTCTGGCCTTGAGGTATAAAGGTTGAAGGTGGAATGGTGCTGGGAAGGCCTGGGAGAGGAAAGTGCTGGGTGCTTCCTGTCACCCGCCATCAACGCCCAGGGTTCTCCATGCTCCTGAGAGTTTGGGAGGAGCCATGAGAACTGACGTGGCTGCCTTGGTGACGTGGCCACCTTGGTAGCCAGACAGTGATCTCAAACAGAGGTTCATCAGCACTGCAGCTGCCACGGGGTAGCATCACCTGGCAGGGGGCCAGGGGCTGTGCTGGCTCCTGGTGGGACGTGGAATGTTTTCAGGTGGGGTCTGAACAGTCACGTGTGTCTTGGTATTTATGTTTTCACGCATGCCGGGAGGAAGTGCATTGAGCCAGAAACTAATGCTCTCACAGGTGCTACAGAACAATACTTACATGCACCAAGTGCAGTAAACGTCATCTAAGAAATGTCAGTGGCTCTCAGATGTGGAAAAACACAAAGGGAGTCCCCATGTGAGTGGGGCAGGGGGCGGGGGCTGAAGGCCAGCCTCATCTGGGGAGAAGCCTCCATCTCCAAGCTCTGCACAGGAGGTTGGCTACGCTTGCCCCACCCCCCGCCCCACCCTGTGGAAACCCTGCTTGTGGAGGCGCTTAAGGGATGAGAGCTGGAGATTCCAGGACAAGGAACCCGTGGGGTTCCTCATGGACTCGGGGAAAGCCAGGGTCCCGCCAAGTCTGTGGAGCAGAAAAATATTGTTTCTTGCAAAACGGGAGGGAAGATTTGGCGGGATCTGTAGCTGGGGGGCTGGGTGTCACCATAGCAACGGAGAGCCAGAAGCCAGCAGACTTAGGGGCAGGCTTCTGATTTCTAGGGATGCTTGCCAAGCCCCAGGTGAGCTTCAGTGGGTGTGGGGTAGGGTTAGGGTTAGCTCAGGGGCCTGCTGAAGACGGGCTGGGTTTAGAGAAGCTCAGCGGGGCCCACCCTGTGCCCAAGTGTGGCCGTTTCTTTAGCGATTGCTGTGACTGGGTGTCAGGTTGGAGGAGGGGGACCCCCAGGTGCACAGCTCCAGCTGGCTTTGCTCCAAAACTTCAATTTTAAGGAAAGAGAGAAACGAAGTGGGATAGACAAGACAGGTCGCCTGAGACCCCGGGGCCCCGTCCGTGGCCTCCCCAGAAATTGGTGCAGCTCCTCAACTGTAGGTCCGGCAGCGGCAGGGTCTGCTCTGACTCCAGCCTGAGGTCACAGTCATCACTCCTCCTTATTCCTCAGGGCACCAGAGAGGTAGGGATGGGGGCGGTGAGATGTGGAGACTGACGTAGCGGAAGGTCAAGTGATGCCCTGGCTTCCTTGCCGGTGTGGGGTGGAGTTGCGTGGGATGTGGGAGGAGGTGGCGAGTTAGATGGGGAGACTCCTTGGGCCCCTGCCAATCCCAGGCAGAGGACCGTCTGAGTCATCAAACAACACAGTTTTGACTGTGCTGCCTGCCTGCCTTCCTCCCTGTGTAGCTTCGGCGGGTGTCATGAGCTGTGCCCACCCCAGGCTGGGTCTGGCTTTCTGTCTGTACATGGGTCCCCACTGGTAGCATCTTGCGTTCAACAGACAAGGTAATCTGTGGACCTCCCGTCTTTCCCTCTGCCAGGGAGAGCAAACTTAGGAAGAATAGGCACATGGTTCTGGCGGCGGCTTCAGAGCTGAAGCTGAAGTGATAGAGGGGGGTCAGGGGGACCCTCCAGGCTCAGGCTCTCTTGCTAGGTCCAGTCTAGCCCAGCAGACCTTGTGCCACTCTCCAGGACACCCTCACTTGGGAAGGTGATGTCCTCCCCAATGCTCTGCATGCTCCCCGCTGATCTGTGAACATGCATGGGTCACGTCTTTGTGTCTTTAAGGTCCAGTGTCCTCGGGGAACCGGCTGGGCTCAGGGCTGAGTCCCATGACCCTGCTCCTCTCCTGTGCCGCCCCTGACCATGGCCTCCCCGAGGTTTCCCTCACTCCTCTCCCATCTCTTTCCCCCCCATCCTCTTCCCCTTTTCTTTTCTACCTGATCTCTAAGCACTGGGGTTTCAGTGGCCACCAAGTTCAAATGCAGCTCCAGACCCTCTGAACGAAGCATCCCCATGGGGTTGCTCACAGCAGAAACCCAGAGTCCTTTTCCAGCCTCCCTCCCCGCAGCGGGGCCGGCTGACTGGGGGCTGATACCCCAAGGTCTCCACCCTAGTCCAAGGTGCCAACACCATCCCTCATCCCACAGCAGCCCTTCACCACTCCTGGAACCTCTGGAGGTGCACCCTCACCAACACGTAACCCTTCTCCCAAGAAGCCGGAGCCACTGCCACCCCTGGACCCTTGGCCTGGCCATCCCTTGCTGCTCACCAGCTCTGCCTCATCAGCTCTCACGGCCTTAGGAGGATGTGCCTCGGGCCCCAGGGCCTTTGCAAGGCTGCACACTGGACACTCTTCCACCCTGGGTGTGCCACCCTCCTCCTCGCTCACTCCTGGTTGGCTCTGGGCTCCTGACTCCACTGACTGGGAAAACCCAGTACTTTTTTCTTCATGCAGACAAATATGTAATTACAGATCATGATGTAATTCCAATCACCCTGCCCTGCCATGGGGCTGTGCATTCTAAGGAGCAGGGGCAGCCCATCCCTCTATGCCGCAGCACCGGGCAGTGGCACAAGGTAAGAATAAATGCACACGGTGCTTCCGGATTCCTTTATCCCGTTCCTTTCTGCTCCTGTAACTCTAGCCCCTCCATCCCTCCAGAAGGGCCTCATTTAAAAAAATATGTTTATTTTTATTTTTAGAGACAGGGTCTCACTCTGCTGGCCAGGCTGGAGTGCAGCGGTGCGATCACAGCTCACTGCAGCCTTGAACTCCTGGGCTCAAGCAACCCTCCTAACTCAGCCTCCTGAGTAGCTGGGAATACAGGCACACACCATCACCCTTGGCTAGTATTTTATTTTGTAGAGATGGGTTCTCGCCATGTTGCCCAGGTTGCGAACTCCTGGCCTCAAGCCATCCTCCAGTCTTGGCCTCCTAAAGAGATGGGATTACAGGTGTGAGCCACCATGCCCAGCCTCAGTTTTGAGGATATTCCTGGGTTCTGGAGAAAGCTCGGAGCCCTCACGTGAGCCTGCTAGTGCAGTTTCCACCCGTTATTGGATATGGTCCCTCTCAGTAAGAGGGGACATCACAGAGCCTTAGACCAGCACCCTATGCATTTGCTGGGTGCACCCAGGTGGACCCCGCCCGATGAGCATGAGGCTGAACCCATTTGTAGCCCAGCGAGGGTAGGTGACTAGGCAGCACGGGTCACCCAGGGATCAGCATCTCCTCAATAGCTCCTGCCCTGGGGGTGGACGCCAGTGCCCCAATGGGGTGTTCACCCGGCTGGACAAGCATGTCTGTTCTGGCAGCAGGCCGGCAGCCACCTCGCTGCCCACACAGATGGCTCCTATGTGCCTGACCTGGGGCTTCCCGAGGGCAGGGAAGAGAGGGGGTGCTGTGGGGGATCTGGGGCAGGGAGGGGGGCACAGGGCAGGAGGCTGTGCAGTGGCCCCACTGTCAGGCTCACCTTCCTTAGCTAATCCTGAATGCAAGAACAACACCGCTAAGTCCGTGAGCTGGACCTCAGCCCTCCAGAGCCCCAAGCCCCCATCTCCTCTACTTGAGGCCTCACAGGGTGCTCTGTGCCCCCAGGATCCCCATGCCCTTGGCCCTGGCCACAGTGCCTCCTGCTGTTGCCCAGGTGGTCCAGGCACCACCTCAGGACCCCCCACCCTGCACCTGCTGTGCCCTCCGCCCAGAATGCTGTTCCCCAGGATATCCACAGGATGGGCTCCCTCACCCCCACAGACCTTTCCTGGCAGCCTGCACACCCTGCAACCTCTTCTGGAAAAGCCCAGGTCCACCTGGATGGAGAGAGTTTCTCTTGGGCAGAGGGAGGGTCATGGCTCTGCCCCTCATGTCCAGCTGGAGCTTTCCACCTTCCTGAGAGCAGCAGCCACTGTGAAAGGGACCGTGTGCTGGGTGTTTTCTGGGTGCTGGGCCTGTGGGCACACCCCGTGCCCTACTGCCTGGTCCACACACTGGCTGCCTTTACAGTCAAAGATCTGGAGGTCAGAGGGGCTCCGGGTTTGAGAAGGGCCCCCAGAGGGGCAGCCCGTTCCTCTCCCGCAGCGTCTTCCAAACTCGGAGAGGCGTTCACGCCTGCGGGGCTCTGGGCCTGCAGGGTGCCCCCAACCCCCCGGAGGCCCGCGGGAGCGCAGGAGGGGACACCGGGGCTGCCGGGGTGGGGAGGGACCCGGGAAGGCATGAATGGATGCGCCGGACCAGGGCGGGAAGCGGTGGACGCGGACCGGGGTGGGGAGGGCTCCGGCTGCCAACCCAAACAGCCCGGCGCGCCTCGGCCCCGTGTTTAATCCACAAAAATTTCCATCTGCCTCTGGAGCACTCGGAACCCGGGCAACCAAAGGCTGTTCGCGCGGCAAAATAAACACCCGCTCCGTGCAGGGGCTGCCGTGCTCCGCGGCCCGGCCGAAACGCCGGAGTCAGCCATTTTGTGGACGCCGCGGACCACAGCGAGGCCCGAGCCCCCCTGCGCGGGGAGCGGCCCCAACATCGCGGGGGGACCTGGGCATCTACCTGCCACCCCACCCCCCCGTGGACCCTGAGTCCCAGGAGCCCCCCAGCCGCGTGCAGCCCCGGGGGCCACACCTGAGTGGAGGGCGCGGGCCGCCCCGTCCTTCCTGCGCCACCCGCGGTCTCCCAGCCCGGGAGGGAGGGAGGGAGGGAGGGAGAGAGGGAGGGGACGGCTGGGACATCTATTTTTGGTGGTGACCAAGCCACTGCTTAATATGCAGAACTGGCCGGGGGCAGGCTGTGCCCTGACCCGCGGGTGACAAGTTTAAAAAGGGGCCCATTTTGACCAAAAGACGTGTTTTTCTGAGGTTGGTCAGGGCAGCCGGGCAGGGTTTGCCGCGCAGAGAGGCTGTGCGCCACCCTCACGCCCTGGCCCCCGCGGGCCGCCAGCCCGGCCGGACCCCGCCATTGATGCTGTTGAGTGCAGATCCACACACGGGGGTGGGTGACCAGCAAGGCCTCTGCCTCCATCGGGCTCGGCACCTGCCACGCCCCTGCCACCTGCTCCCCATCCCAGGCTTTCTCTGAAGCAGCTGCACCCGCAGAAGCTGACACACACTTGAGCTGCATTTTTAAAAACACTGCAAGTTCCTCTCTGGCCAGTATTGGAGGCCTATAAATAGAGCAATTCAGGAGAGGCTTGAGGGTGGCAATTGTCCCCCAGACATGCTAAGTGAGGAACACCCCCAGAAAGGGAGATGCTACTGCAGAGAAAAGAACCGTTCTTGGGGGACTGCTGAGGGTAAGAGAGGTAGGAAGATGCTGGATAGTTGGGGAGACCAGGCTTGGATTCAGGAGGCACGACCAGGCCACACAGTGGAGTTGAGGCAGAATTTGAGCTTACAGAGGGGTCCCTGATGGCCATCCTCATACTCACAGCCTTAGAGCTCTGCTGTCAGCCAGGCAGGCCTGACCGGGAGCTTGTGACACTGCCCACGCCACAGGGCCTTTGCACATGAGCGATTGTCAGAGCTGTGCTACATCATCCCCTCTACTGGGGGCTGAGAGCCCACATGACTGCTCAGGTCTCACAGCCATTGCGTGTAGGGGGAGGGCTTGGACCCCAGCCCCTGGCTCCCAAGGCACAGGAGGAGGTCAGGGTTTTGCCTCCTTTGTGTGGGATGGGAAGGGGGTCTGTGTGCCGGCCCCGGGTGCACAGCTGGATGCTGGGTGTGGATGGGCCACACCTGGATGAGGACCCTGAGTGATGATGAGATCCTCCTATGGGGCTCAGGGTCCCATGGGCAACCTGAGCCTCATAGGATGACAAAGTGAGACTGTGCCTGCAGGACAGGGTTTGACCTGGCTGTCTCAGTAGGTGCTGTGCTGTGCTAGGGCACTGCCAACGGGGCTGTCCTGAGCCCTGCAGTAGAACCAGAGGCAGTGCCAACTCCTGGTGTCACCGAGGTGGGGACATGGTAGACAACCCCAGCAGAGGAGGACAGAGCCGCATCAGTCAGGCTTTTCCTCTGAGTCAGCGCTCTCCACAGTCCCATCAGCCAGCCACAGTTAGTGGGGGTTGAGGGTCATTTGGGCTCTTGGTATGGCAGAGGAAACTGGGGGCCAAAGGGGTGTGAACCCCTTCATGTCCTGGGGCAGGGCTGGCAGGGCCAGAATCTGCAGCTGACAAGTGCCCTCTGCCAGCCCCTGGCAACCTCATGGCAACCTATCCAAGGGTGGGCAGCACAGAGAGGGGCCCTGAGTGGGGAGGGGGCTCAAGGGATGTTAGGATTGTAGGTGGTCCTCCTAGGGGAGACCAGAGGACCAAGGTGGGGACTTGTTTCTGAGGCTCCTTTTCCGATCACACTCACTTCCACCTGAAATCACTCTACCGGGGGAAAAAGAAACACCTCTAAATAAGCACAGCAACTGGCTGATGTCTCAATCTCAGACAAAGCGAGAACTCATGGTGGATCTCAGAGCCAAGCCCACGGCAGTCCCAGTGCCCAGGAGCCAGTCCTGGGAAGGGGGAGGCTAGCAGCTCCAGCATCCCGGACCTCGGCCATTCCCTGGCCTCCCTTTCCAGCTGTGTCCCGGTGGTATGGTCTCATAGAGATGCGATCACGTTCCTTGGCAACTTAGATTTCTTACTGAGTGACTCATCAACAATATCCCTCTCGAGCAATGGCTGCCGGCAAGCTTGTCAGGGGTTGGTGCTGGGGCTGCGGTATCCCACAGGCAGGAGGTGTCTCAATGTATATGCAGCCTCTCTATGGACAAACAGGTGGTTAGAGCTTGCTGCATGACAAAGCTTGCAGGCAAAGCCTGACCCTGGTGCTTTTCTTTCCTAGGAGTGACAACGGGTCTGTAATTTTCACAGGTAGTGTTAGGGTCCCTTCTAGGAGCTGTTGGCATGGTAATTCCCATCCCCCATAAGACAGAAGAGTGTCTGCTCTTCCACATCCATGCCAGCACAGGGTATCATCATTTCCTTACATTTTGACTTCAGGGGTGTGCATTCCCCTGGCCACTGGTGGAGCCACTCTCTTTCCACAGAGGGTTGTGGGCAGAGCTGGGCTGTGGTTCTGAGGTGCCTGCTGGGCTTGGTTCTAGGTGTGGCCTTTGGGGGTGGCCTGAAGTTGGGGGAGGGTACGGGGCCTCGGTCTCTGGCCAGGCCAGCCATGATGGCTGTGGGAATGCCAGGCCTGAAGGGCTCCGACCTCAGGCTCCCAGGGAGCAGCCTCAACCTGGCTCCAGGGGCCTCCCGCAAGCCTCCCCTGTGCTTGCTGGGCACAGGGACTCCCTGGCAGACACATCCACCCCTGCGCAGGAACGGGGTGGTGGTGCTCAGCGTCAAATGCCGCTTTCATTATAGTTTATCTTTGGAACCCCAGACAAAACAGGGCTTGTGTGGTTTGACTGAAGCGCAGCCCCTCAGGACTCTGCCATCCACTAAGACGGCTCCTCAGGAAAGAAAAAATACACTAACCTTAAAATAACCAGTTCCCAGAATAGCAAGCTAATGACGGCTTCTAAAGGGAGCCCTTTGATCAGTCAGAGCCCCCGCCTTTGCCTATTTACGGCCCTGTCACTCAAGAGCAGCCTAGCAGCTGAGAGAGGAGTGTTGGGGGGGCAGAGGGGAGGGGGAACTGCCGAGGAGGGGCAGGGCCGGGACTGCCAGGGCAATCCAGGCTGCCCAACTTTCTGATGCAACCAGCCCCTTGGTGGCAAGGTCCCCCCTGGTCTCTGTGACAGCCTGGATGTGTGTCCCGCATGCACCAAGGGATACTTCTCACAGTCTCCTGAGCAGCACCTTCCAGTTGTGAAGCTACGTCAGGGAACAGACCTGGCTGCAGCGAACCAGAAGGAACCAGAATCCCAAGCAGTCGTTCCTTAGGGACCTTAGGGAGGCATGGGTCATGAGCTCTGGGGACTCGAGGCAGGGGAACTTGGGGGGAAGATGTAGTAGAGAAGGAGCCCAGGAGGGGTCTGCAGGGATGCGTCTCTGTTGGGGGCATGGGGTGGAGAGCGGCGCCAGGGGTCTGAGATGACTGCTAGCTACTAGAATGTGCTCTCCGGGAGGGTCCCTGCCACCTACATTTACCACCTTTTGTGGGCACTCACTGAGCACTTCCCTGGGCCTGGCCTGGGTAAATGTGGGGGAGCCACACTCACCTCCCCACACGCACGCATGGGCATGTCCATCTAAAGCAGCGCTGTCTCAGAGCTGAATCTGCACGGCAGAGTGCCGGAAAAGTGGCGACTGAGACCGAGGAATGGAATTTTCATTTCATTTTAATAAATTAAAATTTACAGACAGATCCTTCATTCAGTTATTAGAAAACTCTTAAGTATGTTTGAAATGACTTAGGCATGGGAATCTCCTTTTTCAATGGTAAATTTTATGAAATCTAAATACAGACCAAGTTGTTCTCATGAAAACTGTCTAAATTGAAGTGTGTAAAATACTCAGTGGCTTTTGAAGACCCAGTATGAAGAGAAGAATGTCAACAATTTCAAGCGTTTTAAAAATATTAATTATATATTGAAATGATATTTTGGATAGATTGGGTTAAATAAAAGATATTAGTGCAATTAATTCTACCGATTTCTTTTAAATTGAAGAAAAGCGGCTATTAGAAGATTTAAAATTAATCTGTGGCTAGCATGGATCAGCTGACCAAGAAGTCAGGGGGGTTGAGGCTGGAAACTCAGGGACCGTGGAATCCCCAGAGGTAACGGGGGCCCTGAGGACATTTGATGACTGGGATGAACTCGAGCTTTGCTTTCACCAGAGATCCATGGTTATGTTCTCAAAGCCTACGCCTGCCCCACATAGGAAGTCTCAGACTTACATAAAGCTGTGCGCCTTCAGCGTGAGGGCCAGTGAGAAATCTCCTACTCCCTGAGAAGTTTGTAAAGAAAACTGCCTTACTGCTAAGAGAAGGAGAACAAGTTCTATCGTGGAAGGTCATTTTCTCATGCTAGTCCATGCTCAGCTTGGAGGCTCTAATTCACACCACCTAGGTTGCCTAGAAAACTTTGAGCCTGGAACCGACAGTCCAGGCTGGCAGTACACCCACATATGTGGCAATGGAAGGGGTAAACATGATTCCTCCCTGAGGACCCCAACTCCACACCAGGCTTCAAAAATTTCCACCGATCAATTTTAAAATACAGAAGTTTACAATGAAAAAAACACAAAGGAAATGAAACACCATGAATGAGAGTCAGCAGAAGAAAAAAAACAGACAGGGATGTGAACTCAGAAATACTTTAGATACTGGAATTAAGAGAAACTCCATATAAAATAGCCATATTTAATACACTTCAAGAAAATTTTAAAATTTGAACATGCAAGTAAATTAGAATGACCTCTCAGATATGAGTAAGAACCTAACAGAACTTTTATAAATAAAATAATACTTGAAGTTTAAAATTCATTGAGCGGGTTTAACAGCAAATTAAACACAGTTAAAGAAACAACAGGAGAACTGGAAGATGAATTCCAGAATACTGTACAGACAGACAAAGTGATTTTTTTAAAAAAAGGTTAAGAGATGTGAAGGGGAGTAAGATGGTCTACTACTGGCCGATAACAATTCCAGAAGGAGACAATAAGACTGAACTGAAATCTTGACATGGATTAGCTGAGCATAATCTCGAACTGATACAAGACAACAAACCACAGAGTAGGATAGCCG